ATACATAAATGTTTTGGCAAGTATGTATGTTAATGGGGTTTTATTAAAATTAGTCGATAAATAATAAGTTGGCTTACTGTAAACAATTACAACTTCCGGAATTTGATACACATAAATCCAAAATCATACATACGCATCTGTATGGGTATATACATATGTACATATCGTCGTTCATAGTACAAAACAGCGCGCACCACCGTTCTGCAAAACCGCGTAACTGACATTTTTTGCCAAAAATTGGATTTGGTCACCGAAGCTCTTGGCTCAAGCCTTATTTATTCGTCCTCAAATACACTAGCTAGAAATGCGATTGCTTTATAAAAGAGATAACAATTTTGAAATATTAGTGTTTTTACTCTCCACAAAATAATTTATGCAAACTCACATACGCGGTTTTGCATTATCTTGATACGCGGTTTTGTACTGTAAACGGCGATATGTATGCATGCGAATGCTACGTATAAACTTGATTTGAAATTTTGGTGCATGTTNTTACTCTCCACAAAATAATTTATGCAAACTCACATACGCGGTTTTGCATTATCTTGATACGCGGTTTTGTACTTTAAACGACGATATGTATGCATGCGAATGCTACGTATAAACTTGATTTGAAATTTTGGTGCATGTAACAAACTCGCTTACCTCGGAAGCTTTCAATAGCTGCGCAACATCCTTGATGATATCCCAAATAAGGTCNGCGCACCACCGTTCTGCAAAACCGCGTAACTGACATTTTTTGCCAAAAATTGGATTTGGTCACCGAAGCTCTTGGCTCAAGCCTTATTTATTCGTCCTCAAATACACCCAGCTAGAAATGCGATTTCTTTATAAAAGACATAACAATTTAAAAATATTAGTGTTTTTACTCTCTACAAAATAATTTATGCAAACTCACATACGCGGTTTTGCATTATCTTGATACGCGGTTTTGTACTGTAAACGGCGATATGTATGCATGCGAATGCTACGTATAAACTTGATTTGAAATTTTGGTGCATGTAACAAACTCGCTTACCTCGGAAGCTTTCAATAGCTGCGCAACATCCTTGATGATATCCCAAATAAGGTCAAAAATGCCCATACTACCATATCCAGAACGGCCATTGCAGTAGTAACAATCATCTTGATTAGGTTCTCTCGCTTTTGTTAGGATTTGAGTTAGAACACTATCCAAGTCGCGTGGATCGTTTAAACTCGTTAATCTTTCTAATTGACCGGGAAGGACGGTGAGTATGATTGCACGACTGTATTTCCCAGTCTCCTTATCGTACTAAACAGCACACCAAAAATATGTAAAGGGTAATTAATAAAAATAATGTTGATATATATGTACAATACAAACATATGTATTTGCAAACAAAATACCGGCAAGGGGAGCTATGATGTCATCAGCATGTATTGCAACCCACACCCAAGCCGAATTTGTTGTTAATCACCTACCTTGAGCGAATCGTTATTAAACAAATACGCAATGAGCCTCTTGTAATACATCAATGTGACGGTGTCTGTACTGTGGCTGCTGCCAATTATGACGTTGCACTTGGAATCTGACGTGGATTCCCCATTCTCCAAATCGTTTTTTTGATGAGAATTCCGAAGTGATTGTTCACGTCCCCAAGCGTCCGGTTCAATCCAACTGTCTTCTTCATGTGTGCACAGCACGGCATGCCTATTAGAAACTATGCAGAATAATATAATGTAAAAACACAAGCCGTGGGCCTCCATTTTCACCAAATCACAAATTTGTATATGTTTGGATAGCTCTCAACTCAGAACTCGAATAAAAATTGACTTCGTTTTGGCAATGCGACTTACAGGGATGTCCGCTATTCATCGATATTTTATGTTATCGATGGTAAGACGTAAATATCGATNGTGGTTGAAAGGGTAAGTTTAGGAAAAGGCATTGAAGAGTGGCAACAGTGTAGTAAGCAACACTGAAGGCTCCAGTAATCGACAAAATTCTGCGTATACAGACTGCGTTTAAGTATACGTTCTGCGTTTTCGACTAATTTCAGCTTTAGAGCGAGAAGCTGCCAACTGATAACACCTGTATTATTGCATCATGCTATAAGTCCCCTTTCATACACGTCAAGACTTGCTTTCAAGTCTGCTCGTTCGTAGGCGGAGGAGGTGAGAAGAGAGTGGAAGAGTACAGATACCTCCGTACCATGAACCAACGACTACAGATCACCTAATCAGCCATCGTTGTATTTGTAATCGATTTTCAGAAAAAAGTTTTCGTAGCGTTTTTGACGTTTTTCGGTTTTGTTTACACCGTCTTCTACCTCTTCGTAGTGATTTTTTAGCGATTGAATGTGTTTTCTGCAGCGATTTTAATTATAAATTTTGGTTTATTACATATTTATGATATAAAATAAAGTGCTGTGTGATCGGAACAAGTTTGTGCGTATGTTTGGTTTGCCAAAAGGCGTAAATTTGCGTGAAAAGTGGGTGCACGTTTGTGGCCAGAACGTTGGCATTGAAAAATCGACCCGTGGTAATGATATGCGATTGTAAAACACTTTCAATCATGAAAACCATATTTTATGAACTTTTTTTGCTAATTGTCATCAAGTTTCACTTTGTATATTTTATAATAAATACCAATTTAATCGCACTCAATCACCGCGCCTTTTTCGTTTTCTTTGTTTGTTTTCATTCTTAGGCAGATGTCAAAAACACTCAGAAATATACTTTTTTCTTGCTTCTTTGATTAGGTGATCTTGTATTTTTGGTTCATGCCTCCGTACCGTCAATTCGTTTCAAGTTTTCTTGTCTCTTTTGATATTTTCGTTGCTTCTCATTTAAAGAAACAAGGACTTGAATTCAATTAAGGTTGACGAGTGTGGAAGGAAATAGAAAACACAAAAGAGAATGCGAAAAAAATGCTTTCAAGATTTGACGTGTCTGAAAGGGGACTAATATAACCCCAAGTTATACATCGAGTGGAAAGTTATCGATGCATCGAAGCAAACCATCGATGTTTTCTATGCATCGATGTTTTTTCCACAATTCTATTTGTTAAAAATAATCAAAAATCGTGGTATTTCGTGGTTCGCCGTACACCAAAACAGTCGAAATTCATGGTATTTTGTAGATTTTGGATTTAATGCAGCCAAAAAACTTGACATAAATATATAAAAAATGCAGTGTCGTGTTTTCAATTGTGGCAGCCGTAGGAGTAAAGGTTCCAAGGTGAGCTTTTTTTCGTTTCCTGAAGACGACGCCACTGCCTTCAGGTGGGTAGAATTCTGCCGACAAGAGAAGCCCTTCAATTTGAATACCAGCGCCATATGCATGAAGCATTTTACATTTAATGATTTCATGGGTAAATATCTCTTACTTTATTTATACATGATATCTAATAAAAAGCTTAGGATTCACTAAACGACCCTTGCTCAGGCGCGGAGCCGTGCCAACCATTTATGAATGCGATATACCTGCTGCAGTTTCTCGACCACAAGATGACAGCATAGAGGATTTACTATATAGCTGCGAAGGTAGCAAAAACCATTATACTATAAAAACTATATTATTAATGTCAGCGGTTTATTACAGTTGTTTTGTCTGAAGCTGATAAAGAATATCGGCCCGAGGACGGTACTGTTGATGCTCCAACATCACAGATCCGTTGTTTTTACTATGACACCAATTTTCAACAAGAGGAAGTTTTGAAGACTGAAGTGTTCGTTAATAATTAACAGATTTTAACGTGTAAATCAAATAATTATATTTTTTCTCGTACTTGCAGAGAGACATTGAAGCGCGAAAATGCACTCCTTAAGAAGGAAAACCATAAGCAAAGTATCGAGCTTGCTTCATTGAAGCGGGAGTCCAACCAGCAATTGAAGAGAAACTCTTCGGAATTGGAGGCGCTGCAAAAGCGTTTGGCTGAAATGGCTGCTGAAATTAAAAATGTGGAACATACACTGGCCGGCACGTTTACCAAAAGACAGATAACGAAGATGAAGGTTGGGACGAAGCGACGAAAAATGACACAAAAAGACATTGCAAAGTCGTTAGCACTGTATGCTGGCAGCATTGTGCAAAATTTGAAGTGAACTCGGATACATGTGTTTTCCAAGAACGCTGAGATTACCCGATTTCAATTACTACAGGATTTTACTGATGAAGCTTTAAAGAGACTGACGAAAACAGCAGGAAAAGTTGTATTAAGGTCCTTGTAAACGATAAGAGTGATTTTCATGAGATGCCTCTGTTTTGATATGAATATTCTCATGTGCGTTGACGCGCCAACTGTGTCTCATTTTAACACTGCACGTGTTAGATTCATAAAAGGGAATATTTAACAATAGAAAAATAATAGGGATGCTCACACCGATTAGGTAAATCCTGCCCTTATATGTATTTCGTGCAAATACGTCTAGTGAAATATCAAAGCATACGAATAGTGGTGTTTGTTGACTCATTTCCTGTAAAATCCAGTAAAAGTTACTGGATAATTTGTAAACGAACACAACTAATGAAAACTCAACATGCCCTATATGAGAGCTAAGGTTAAATTTATTTAAGGCGGTTTGCATGTGTCAAAGTTTCTTATGAGTGAGTTAAAGCTTAAACAGATGGCAGCGGACTTAATCCGGGTAACTGCAGTTAATTCCCGAGTTGATCCGGATCAACGCTGCCGTCTGTTTAAGCTTTTAGAAAGTGAGAGCTTTGAAGTTTTCTTTCCCACTTCCTTCAGCGAAGAAATTTGTGTACCGAAAGCCAAATAGTTTTTGTACTACCGCTACCACCTTATACGAATTCTTCTTGATTAGAGCTGAGAATACCAGTGAGAGTGTTATTTTAAGATGAGAGTCACTATGCAGAGAACAAAGATGGCGCGGTCCGAGGTACCGGTGCTATGGCACAAGGTAGCGAACAGAAGGTGGCGCATTCCGCAAACCGCTACTTTGGTTTTGTCAAATAACGTAGATCTATATTGTGTGGCTTTGCCGATTCTTACAGTTATCTATGTTCATAAACAACGCCTCAAAAACTTAAAATGCACCCAAATTCACTATACTTTAACTAAAATCACAATTTTTTCACATATAGGGCCAATTTCACAATGCGTAGTTAACTCAGAATCGGGAGTTAACTACAGAATTTTGTACTGAAAATCTCTAGTTAACTGTCGATTCTGAGTTAACTACGCACTGTGAAATTGGCCCTTATTTATTAATTAGTATTACAAGTCATATATTTTCACAATTTAAAAAGAATTAAAACACGTTTCCTATTTAAAAATGGAATATTAAGAAAGTTGACTAATCTCACATTCTGTTTTATCCTCCTATTCGGCTTCGCTACTTTTTACCCACAAATGTCATCGCCGTCGGGAATGCGTCTCTCTTTGCTATTTAGGCGGTGAGGATTAGAGTAGGGCTATCACGAAAATTATTCTCATCGTTTACGAGAACCTTTAAGTATACGCCTTAAAACGCCTTAAAATATTAAAACGTCATTAAAACATCGGATTTGAGTAAATTGAATGTATATACAGATAAAATCATCGTATGTCTGTTTTATTTCATTTTCAAAAACCGTGATTTTGAACAGTTAATTAAATACTGTGAGTTTGACATACAGGTGTAATTACATATGTATCTAAACAGATTTACAGATCGAAATACATATCGTGTAAGAACACTTTAAGAAAACAAATCATGTTATCCATGCCGAAGATGTTAATAGCCGTGTTTCTTCGGCAATGATCGGGATCCGGATAAAAAAAATTTGCATACATGCACATGGACTATCGCCCAAAAACAATCGATGTTTTTCCAAAAATAAAACTATCGATTGTACAATCGATAGTTTTGCAGCTCTATCATGGAATTGGTTTAGCACCAAGAATGATAGAATACAAGATTGCGCCGTCCTGGGCGTTGACATTTGTGTACCACAAGTAAACAAAGAATAGAGCGAAAAGAAGAACGAGTTGAAACAGCCAAAGCAGTTCACTTTACTGCGAAAAACGTGTTTTAATTTTGCTAAATGCGAAAATATTGCATTTTTCACCTAATCTATTAGAGAACAGTGAACATTGTAGTGCACTCCATTGCTTTGCAATTGAGGCTGCTTCAGCAAACGTTTTAGTGCACTCCATTGCTCTGCAATTAAGGCTGCTACAGAAAACTGCAGCAGCATCTCTGCGGGACTGATTAGTTAACTTGCTAATGGAGGCTGCGTGGAGCAGAAACAAAATCATTGTGAGGAAATGCTGTTAATATAATAATAGAGAAACATATCGGGAACGGCTTTGCCGTGCCCTATTTACACAATCGCAATTTAACACACAGCACTTCATTGTATTAGTTTTTACACAGTCTTCAATTCAAAAATCACCCACAAATTGCAAATTAACACGATTTAAACTGATTTTTCTCTTATAATTCAAATTTCTCTTTCGCTGATTTGTAAACAAAGGTTTATTTACAAGTTACCACAACTGTCAAAATCGGCAAAACCAAAGTAGCGGTACCACTGACGGCGCCACCTTTGTTCGCTGCACCGTGGTTTAGCACAGACAAAAGTAAAATTAGTGGAAATCAGAATATCAATGATGCACTGGACTGTGTAAGTGCTTGTGTGTAAAGCAAAGAGTTTAAAACGTATTTATAAATAGTAAAATGTTTACAGCAGAATGTCAAAACAGTGCAACAGCTGTTCACTTGCAAGTTTTTGCTAGTTTCGTGTTCATTAAATTTTTCTGATAGTTTTCTCTTCTAAATTTACTGGAGAAGCTACTATAAAAATCTAATATCATTTTTGAAATATCGATATATCGATATAACGCACTAAAAAATTTGAAATGTCAGAGCAATATTTAAGAATCCTTGTTCAATAATAGTTAAAAGAAAGGAAGTATTATTTACTCTACATTTTTCAAATATGAAAGATCTGTTGGCAGACATAAAGTCTTACCTGTAAAAATATTCAATTAAAAAATTTAACTATCAGAATTTTAATCGTAAAAAAACGTTGGTAATGTTATACATATGTACATATTTCTATTAAAATTTGTTGAACTGATGAGGCTGATTTCAGCTTTCAAGAAAAGCGAAAAGTTTATATAAGATGACGCACAAGAAATGGAAAAGAAATTTGGCCCAACCCCCCAACCCCGCCCCCCCTAAACGAAAGAGGATGGATGCCGCTTTATAAAAAGTCACCACTCCGCTGTCAGTCAGTGTGCTCAGGCCCATTGGAAATAAAAAATATATCGCCTATATCGATATAATATCAACATTCCTATTGTTTTCCTATTCCTATGGTTTAGGCTTTCACATTTTGATTATTTATGTACTTCAATTTTGGGTTCCAGAAAAATGGAATCAGAGGAAATTAAATTGGGAAAATTAACTGAGGAGTCTTTAAAGCGTAAAGAACGTTTGCGTCAATTACGTGGAAAAGCCCAAAAATCCGATAAAGATTCTTACACTAAAGGAACCGAAGAGCTTCCGAGGTTTGTAGTACCTTCAACTTAACAGTTTGAGATCGAGCTACTAATTGGCAATTTATTATCCATGCAGGCCTATTTTTCGCAGTTACAAACCACAGAACGAAAATACCGAAGGCGAAGTGTTAGACCAGGAACCATCCGGTGATATTGAAAAAGCAGTAGAAGGGCAGTTGGAACTATTGAATCAGCCTATGATTATCGATGAAATTGATATAGCAAATTTGGCGCCTCGAAAGCCCGACTGGGATCTAAAACGTGATGTATCAAAAAAGCTAGAACGATTAGAGAGGCGCACTCAAAAGGCAATTGCCGAGTTAATACGGGAGCGGCTGAAAAAGAATCAAACCGACCAAGAAATATTTCAGGCGGTGAACGTTGGTACGGCGCATGCCGGTGAGGCTACTACAGTCGATGATGATTAGTAATAACCAACAACTAATATATTTTATCATGTAAGGATTTATTTAATACACATATAAATATGATATAAAATAACAGAAATTGTACAAATTTACGATGGTATCTAAATTGCAAAAAAAATATATATGTATATATAATCGCCTATTTGCGACGAGAACCTAATGATGTAGTAGAGAAGTGTGGCGAAATATTTTCTTTACCAGAAGACTTCAGTTTCTCACGTAATGCATTTATTTCTGAAAAAGGCATTCAGTTTTCGTTTTGTAAAATAAATAGTTTGTACATATCGCTCATTTACTTCAGTAGCGTCATAATGAAAAAATGCAAATATTGAGTTAACAACCGCTACCTCTTCTAATAATAATATAATAGGTCGGCGCTTACACTTGCGTTAGTGTTTGGCTGAGCTTCTCCTCCGATTTGTGGCGTGCGCCTTGAAGTTGTCTCTTCTATGTTGTGTAAAAATTTCATATACATATTTATCGATTACCGGTAGCTCACTAGACCACAATATGTATTTTTTAGTCTTAGTAACAATTATTACCTTGTTTTATCTTTCCGGTCTTAACTTTTATTTGTTATGCTATAAAATATTGCAGATCTTATTGTACTAATGATTTTGCAAATAAATGAAATGAAATATACATATGTAGTCTGCTTTTTTCGAGTTATGATACTATTAAAGTAAATGAGCAATATGTATGTATATACATACGTTCGCTGTACTTTTGTTCCAGTGCACTGGCGAATTTTCGCATGGAGTCAAGTTGTTGCGGTATTTCTTCTCGTAAACTTTCAATCGTTTTCCGCGCTTGGACCAGTTCCTTTTCTCGTAGTTGCAATAGTTTATCTTTATCTTCAATTGCTTTTTCCTGTTGTAGTGCCACTTCCGTTCGCCAATGAATGGTCTTTTTAAGTTTTATTAGCTCTTGTGTTTGTTTTAATATTATTTCATTTGCTTTAGAAATTTCCTCCGCAGCCATCTCCAACGCTTTTCGTTTACATTGCGAAATTTTCTTCTCCGCCTCCAGTTCAGCAACAACATCATCCTGCGAATTAAATTTTTACAATGTGATTTTTTTTCTAAATTGAACTTTTACTTTAGCTTTATCATATTTTTTAAACTTCTCCTGCATCTCCGATATATGATTGCGCGCATCGGCTAAATGCATTTCATTTTTACGCTCCGTATTTTTCAATTTCGATATTTCAGCGTGTAGTCTTTCTATTTGTTCCTTCAATGTTGAACTCTGTGATTTGGCGCCAGCCAATTCCTCATTAAGCAACTCGAAGCGTTTTTGTTCCTTTCTATAAGGAAGGATAAATTAATCAAAGGTGGATAAGTTATTTTTAATATATAAGAATATACATAATCAATATTCTCACATTTTCTCAGAAAGCAGATTGTTCTTCTCAGCTATTAATTTATCCGCTTGCAATTGTAGTGCCGTAATCGTCTTTTGACTACGTTCATTATCGATGTGTCTCTGCTCAGATGCTTTTCGTAAGCTCTCTTGCAAATGCTGTAATTCTTCTGAATGCCGTTGATTTAAATTTCGACTATTATCAATTAAGGTTTCTTTTAGTTTACTATTATCCCCATTCAATTGTTCAATTGTACGTAAATGCATTTCAACTTCCTGTTGTAGCGCCTGTATTTGATGTTCTTGCGATTGGTTTCTTGTCTACATTTAAACCACGAAGAATATGACAAATACGTACATATATATAAATCTTGTATATTTACCTGTATTGCATCTAACCTGCTGCTCATATAGAATAATACCACATTTAAAGGAGCCGCTCGACTGGGCAGACACAAATGAATTAAATTTTTAAAACTGCGCTTTTCTACAAATTGTAATTGATAGTCCGCAGGCTCTCCTAAGGAATCGGATTGTTTTTGTACTACTGCTAGCTCAAGCTTTCCGGACCGGCAATCTTGAAGCATTCGTGCCAGATTTTCGATAAATCCCGCGAAAGTGACATGTAATGACTGATCTTGCTTCAATGCGTTGAATGAAGAGCCGTCCACTGTAGTAATGTACATACGACGTTGATCCGCTTTCTCCGTCAATCGTAGCTGCTGCAATTTACACGTATTTTTTATTTTATATTTCATTATTTGTCCTAAGTTTTCTTACAAGCAATCCTTTGAATACAATTTTCTCTGCACATACGATGCACGGCTTCTTCGTGCGTTCGTTATCCAAACGAAAGTTTACTAACAGTTCAACTGTTGGTAAAATGTTTTCAGTATTTTTGTTATAATTAAAATTGCTAAAATAATCTTCATCGGCCGGTGCATACATTTTTTAATGATTATTTATAAATTGCACAGTACACATAAATTGTTTGTTTACGTTTGATTTAAGAATGTTCGATACTCATCGATATTCGACGATACGACATTAGGTATCGATGTTTCAGAATCGATATCGCACTAGAAAACCCCTTCAAAAATCGGGACTACTCCATGTATGCATGTAAATAGTACTTCTAAGGCCGGGGTTATGCTACCAATTTTAATTGGCAATCAAAATACAAAAATTTCGGTGATTGGTGAGAAGCATGATTCAATAATACAAGGTGGTATCAGTTGTGACAGCTCGATTCGACAATGCCTTAGCTCAGTAGAATAAGAAGAAAAATATAAAATTTCATACTTTCTTCTAAACAAAACTTGCTTTTTTATAGTACATTCGCAATAAAATGAAATAAAATAAAATAAAATACCTTTTTGAGAAAACAAAATGTGAACTGAGAGAAAAATAAAAGAAAATTCAACTATATTATCNGAATTTGGCAGTTGGTTGGTTTCTGTTGGATATTTTAAACGAACGCACCTCATATGGCGGAATTAGAGCGGGAAGTTGCCAACCGATAACACNACTGTTTCACCTAAGGCAGTCAATATGGCGGAATTAGAGCGGGAAGTTGCTAACGGATAACATNCTCTCTTGTGAGCGAACAGATGACATTTCGCCGGAATTTGGCAGTTGGTTGGTTTCTGTTGGATATTTTAAACGAACGCACCTCATATGGCGGAATTAGAGCGGGAAGTTGCCAACCGATAACACCTTGTATTATTTCATCATGGAGCCAAGGTGTGTTAGGTCGGTGTTATGCAGAAATTTCGTTTGGCAAACTGCGTGCAATTGGCGTTGCAGCAAACTCGGAGGGAGCGAGTTTGGCGACTCTCACAGCAAACTAATTTTGTTTGGTCAAACTGCAGCAAATTCGGTGTTGTCATATACAAAAATTTTAGACAATTGTTGCTATACACAAAAATTGCCTTGATACCGAAAGGCAGAGAGAACTGAATTTATGCTGTAGGAGCTTCAAAGATTAGGGCGCAGTTAATTGCCTATACGATATCATAAAAAATATATTAATTGTGCGCTTTATGTACATCTGAAATTCTCATTTCGTGTTGGCAATAGCCATGAAAACCATAATGAACGTGCAATCCTGTGCCAACTCGACATAACCACCTCCGAGCAAACTAAGCAGCCGCCATTTAATTTGGCAAACAAAATTTTGTCTGCATAACACCAGGTGTGATTGACAACCCAAGTAAGCTCTCTTTTAAGGTACTATTATGCCAAAAAATATAAACATGGCTCTTCTGAGAGCAATGTCAAGTTCAATCACACTTAGTTGAATACATTTTGCATGGAGCCCATGATTCAATAATACAAGGTTATGCAGCGTTTTTGCTGTATTTAAAATGCAACATTTACCACTTTCGAACATATGTTTTCGGAGAGCGTTCACGCTATCGCATATGTACATTTACGCGAGTTCGAAATCTTAAGGCCGGTCCACATAGAACTTTCGCGTTGGCTTTGGCGTTGGAGTTGGTTTGACAGAACGCACGTTAAAAGTATGCTTGCTACAATGAACGTTTGGCAGCGAATGCTTGGGCCACTAAATTAACATACTAACGAGAGATTAATTAATATTTCATATCAATAATTGCACTAAAAAAGATATTTCTTGCCCGCACTTGATTGAAAAGCAAAAATATTTCACATAATTGTATTTATTTGCAACAGCTGACGAGCAACGTACGCGAAAAGTTGAGAGTTGGCCATCTTTTTGCTTTGTGTTGGCGTGAGCGTTGTCGAATTTCGGCTATGTGGACGGCTGCATTTGAATTCATGTATTCATAGTCAGCTGGTAAAGCGACGCCAACGCCAACGCAACGTCAAAGTTCTATGTGGACGGGCCTTTAGTGCCAAACCGCGGCTGTCAATATTTATCTAACCTTGTATTAGGTTCATTCCTTATCTTTTTGGACTAAAATCTGAAAAGTGTCAAAATGCCAGAGCGTAAGCAAAATGCTCTCACTAAAAGAGAATAACAGGAAAAGTAAAGGAACGCAAAAAACCAAATTTTTAGTCCAAAGAATGGCAGAAATGTATGTACCAAACACATTCACACAAGCACAAGCACAATAAACACTTGCTATATCAATTATTATTTGCCTCCTTCCAATTTCTTTTACTTTTTAGATTATTCTCACTTTTAGCGTATTTTTTAATTTCCGTTAATTTAAATTCAGTTGAGTTTGACACTTTTCAGGATTTTGCCAGAAAAAATTCTTCTGACTAAATCTGACTACTTCGGACTGATGAGAGTCACTCTCACTGACTGTTGCTCTCTCATTTTTGCTGTCATTTCCGAGTTAAGGAACGCTTTTTGGACTAAATCTGACTACTTCGGACTTTTTCTGACTATTTCTGGGAGATAAGGAACGCTCCTATTATTGAATCATGAATTTTCTCATTATTCTTCTTCCTGATAACTACCTGCTAGAAAAGAAAAGCCCTCAGTGTTGCTTACTACAGTGTTGCTATTCATCAATGCCTTTTCATAGACTTACCTTTTCAATTACAATTTTTCGTGTTGTAATGGATCGTAGCTAAATATAAACTACTTAGTTTTCAACAAAAAACCTTATTCAATAGTAAATTTCAAATATTTTAAATATATTTTGAATAGGAATTTATAACTTTTTTACCATTTGCAAAACTGACGAAGAGGCAACCATCTAAAGAAGGAGAAATCAGCTGGNGTTTCAACAAAAAACCTTATTCAATAGTAAATTTCAAATATTTTAAATATATTTTGAATAGGAATTTATAACTTTTTTACCATTTGCAAAACTGACGAAGTGGCAACCATCTAAAGAAGGAGAAATCAGCTGACACGGAAAAATCTAAATTCCGCAGATTTCTGCACTACGGGCTACAACTACAGAAAAATTCTGCGGTGTTGAGTTTTCATTTACATGGCACTCTGGTAAGACAGATCGTGTCAGTTGACTCGGGTTTATGTACCGGTAGGTTTACGTTCTTGACTAATTTCAGCTTAAGGGAGCGGTGCGAGAGGACAACTGTCAGTTTTTCTATACCGCATTCAACAAAAAGTTTAACAAAATATCGAACAATCGTCGCTTGGGTAAAAGATTGTCGTATGTTAATTTCGGCAGGTTGTGTGAAATCGCGATTGAAGTTTGGAATGCAATTTCTCAAAAATGTGAAGATAGATTTTCTACGAAATCTCTGAAAATTTTACTAGTTCACAAAATTCTTAAATTATTTACTTAATTAGTTTTGAGTTTATGAAGGATTTTCTTTAGTCAAATTTTGTCGTAAGCGTCATTTATCCACAATTTGTCAGCCACTTTGTATGAAAGACGACAAAATGTGATCAAAATTTCTACCGAATTAACGACACTTTTTACTCAATATCTCGGAAACTAAAGGAGATATCCAAAAATGGAGAACGCCATTTTTAAGATATTGATTAGTTTAACATGACTGCATCACCAACTAAATTTTTAGTGAATTATCGAAAAAGTTGTAGTCAATGTCTCGGAGACTAAAGGAGATATCTATAAACTGATAACAACTGCCTTATTTTAAAATATAATATATATATATATATATAACTGCATCTAGAACTAAAAATCGTCAAAATGGCGCTTACAACAATTTTTTTATCCAGGCGACGCAATGGCAATGCTGCTTTTCGGCCTTCGCAGGGATTTGTGAACGTAGAGGGTTAAATGCTATCCCAAAGGTCTGGCATCACTTCTATTATTTTAAACATGTGGCAGTACTCTTCGTTCCTTCTTTCGCCATTTTCACAATTTTCGAGCGGCATTTTTTTGTTAATTGTTCATTGAAAAAAAATTTTAGTNCTCTTCGTTCCTTCTTTCGCCATTTTCACAATTTTCGAGCGGCATTTTTTGTTAATTGTTCATTGAAAAAAACGTTTAACCAACTTTTAGCTGCTTACACTAGTGAAAAACTTTGCGACTTATATTCAAGTACGCCGATAATCATCCGCAGAACTAAATAACTTCAATACCCCACCGAAATGGCGGTAAGTACCCGTGCACGTGAATCTCACTATGCAAAGCAAATTTTACGTCGGCTATATTTTTGCCACATACATTTGCATATGTATGTATAACAATTATGAAAACTTGCGTTTTTAGACTACAAAAATATTTGTGGGAAGCCTTCCGCCAGGCACGAAACCCGAGGAACTACGTCATCTCTTTGAAGATTATGGTGTTGTTGTAGAATGCGATGTTATGAATCGGTGTGGTTTTGTACACATGGAGACGAAAGAAATGGCTAACACTGCTATAGCGGCACTAAATGCTACCGAATTCAAAGGACAAATGATTGTAGTAGAGCTGGGTAGGCCAAAGGATAAAAAACCTGGCGCTGTAGGTGGCGGAAACAAAGCACAAGGTGGACGCGGTGGAAATCTGGGATCTAGAGGAGGAGGCCGGGGAGGTTCAGCACGTGGTGGCGGTAAGATTACTACTTATTTTTTTTTTTGTCTAATCTTACCAATTTTCCCTTTCATAGGAGGAAGGGGCGGCGGACCTGGAAACCGTGGTGGGGCTTCAGGTGGGAGAGGTGGGGGTATGATGGGCTCTGCCGGCGGTAGACCGAATTTCGGTGGACAGAAAAATAAATTCGGCGGTCAAGGTGGTGGACCAATCCGCAATGAGCAGTTCAAGCAGCAACGTAACATGCCTTACCAAAGAAGAAATCCTCAAGATGGAGTGGGTGGTAATGGAAAATTTGGAGGCACTCAAAGGGGAAACTTTAATGACGGTGGTGCTGGAGGATCTCGAGCGTTTGGCCGAGGTGGTGGCGACGGAGGCCAGCAACAAAATTTCCCTAATTGGGAAGGGCAACAGATTGAGGGCAATGGACATTTCGGTGGAATGGGTAATTTCAACGATAATGATGGTTTTGGTAATAATTTTGGAGGCAATATGGCGGGTAATGCAAGCGCAGGCTTTGGAGGTAATAAGGGCGCTGGAGGCCAGGATAGACGAGGTTTTGCGTTGCCTACAGGCGGACGCGGTGGTGGACAAAGATTTGGCGGTGGAAACCCTGGAGGCGCCTTTGGCGGAGGGGGAATGCAAAACAATGGCGTTCCACAAAACAACATTGAAAGCCTCTTCAGTAGGAGGAACAACAACGGCCCAAATATGTTAGTATCGAACTTTTAGCGTTCCTGGAAAACAGCTATGTATAAATTTAAAACTTTCTGATTTTGAGTAGACCTGGAAATAATATGCCGGCGCAGGGCGGATTTCAAGGCGGCTTTGGCAACAATCGCCCTGGTGGACCACCAAATGCAGGTGGACGCGGCGGATTTAGACGTGGTGGTGGTGGTGGTGGGGGCATGGGTGGAAGCGGTAATGAAGGTTTTTCTGCGCCAACCAATTACAACAGTAATTTCCCACCTCTTGGCACACAAGGTGGTGGTGGCCGTGGCGGAGGTCGCGGAGGTGGGGCCGGTGGACGTGGTGGCCGAGGTGGCGGAATGCAGCGGTAAGTTTAATGTTAGAATCTGATGGCGTTTTATTAGTTAAACTGTTGTTAATTTTTTTATATTTTTATATTTTTTTTTGAGCTTTGCACTACGATTGTTTATTAGGAAAAATTGAAAAAGCTCAATAAAAAAATTAAATTTTAATAAGCCACAATAACATTGACAAATACGTTGTTAATTTATTTGCAACTAAGCCGCAGAATTGATTATTTAAGCCCAAAATGTCAAATCAAAGTAGCGATTCTGGTAACAGCATAAATTCCATAAACAGTTTTGGATATTGCTACTGGCGTGGCAGTCTATGCCCATGGCCAGATGTAAATCTGTGTTAATGCGGTTATGTAAACCCGACAGTCGTTGCACTGAAAAACGTGGGGTCGTTAACAGCTTTTAATTTTTAGCTCCTTTAAGAACTAATGGTTTTGTAGACTATTGATGTAGGGAAAACACCAACTTGACGTTAGTGGTGGTTGTTGTTGTAACAGCAGAAAATTAACAAATAGTATTTGTGGTAACTGATGGAGTGAAACTCTAGGCGCGTTATACTCTGGGGGATCCGCTTACGGAGCCCAACCTGTCGTGGAAACGTGTAGTGATTTTGGGGAATTGGAACTTAAGTAAAATCGTACAGAAACAGATTGCGGCCCCAGTTTACATTTGAATGTGTATATAAAAGAATTAATGCGTACCCTAGGTTTAATATGTACTTAATTTGCTTCGATGCATTATCAAATCTTTTTAAAATATATTTTATAATTTCTCTCACATACAGCAATGGCCCTCGTCAAAATATGATGCCCAATCAACAACGCTTTTGAAAAACTGTTAAACAACTTAAATTAATGCGAGTACACCAATGCGTTAATCTTGAGTAGACAGTGTGGAATGTGTGTGTGTGTTTCTGTTATGATAACGAAATTATAACGAAGCATAACGAAACGTCCGAATGCGAAAACTTTGATGCGCAAAGTTCAAAAGCAAACCACACATAATTTAGTTATTAATGCGAAATCAAACAAACTATTGCAATTTTATAATAACTTAAAACAAAAAGCTAGTTTATAAGCAGCACCATAGTATGCCGACATTACGTCGCAAATATTACCAATCAAGTGTAAAATAAAAATTCTAAATATTAAAAAAAAAAAAAAAAAATAACAAAGTGAATTAGGAAAATGACAAGTTTACAGACAACTGTGAAGGCTTTTTTAATCCTGTGTTTAATAAATAGTGGTAAATTTCATAAGAATTTTAGCCGAAACCTACTCCCAACTACATTGTATAATGTACAATAATTTATATTATGTAGATATAAGATTTTGTGTGCAAGGAGTTGCCTACCGGCGCAACTCGCCCGCATGAACTACTTTTAGTGTCAATTCACTTTCCTGATCAAAATTAAAGTTTTGTATTATAAACCAATGCAATCAAAATGAGTATGTAATATTTAATATGTTTAATAATTTTGAGCTTATGTATTTAATTTTCCCTTGACTTATTATTTGATTGTATTTGCAGTTTGTTTGAATACCTTTTTGGAATTTCGCTTGTCTTACAAATACGTTAATTGTCCGAATCGAAATTAACCGAACCCAATGTACAATGATCTAAATCAGCAACTGACAATTAAAATAATATTACAAAATATAATAATGTACGAGAATATTCAATACATACGCAAGTATTTGGTTAACTTTTTAATTGCATAATAGACTTAACCCATAAATACTGTCAAACCCTAATCAACGCGCGGTTGATTTCAGAACTTAATAAAAAAAAGATAAAAATGTTAACCGTGCGATAAGGATACATTTTTATTTCACATACCTACAAATAATTAGGAGCAGACTTATTTTTTCTTGGAAATATTGTCCTCTATAATCTTATAATAATACCATTAAAATGTCATAAAACCCAAAAGGCAATAAAAAACACTACTAAATGGAAATAATCGGATGTTAATTTTTTTTAGTTAAACTAAAAGGTGAAATCGGTTATGCGGAAAGTTATATATGTTTATAAAAGGATTTACTTTCCAGATACATATCGCACCCTAAATCAAAAACAGTCCCAACTCAAAATTTGTTAAATTTTTTTTTCTCATAACAGGCCTTATTTCTAATGTTCGCCAAAATATCTTCTTTGACCCTATCTTCCTTATCTGGAAATATACTGTTAATACGGTCTTGCGAACTAGCGTGGGATTGCTCGTTTCAAATCGAATCGAAACAAATTACAGCTGTTTTCTCCCTATTGCAACTAAAATTGACGAAGCGAACTCCTATCGAATACCGTGATCTCAAAATCAAATTTCGAATCGAGTTGCGTTCGATATCGAATTAATGTTTACTTTAAAGTCGGATGATATCGGGCACTGTCTTGCATTAAAATCGAAATGTGGGCATTGCAATTTCCACACATTTTGGCGATTCGACCTAGGAGACAATTCACCTGCTTAAGTGTTGGGCAGTATCGATACCAAAAGCACTCAGAACTCAAAAGTATCGACAGCACCCGATTTTTAAATGTATCGATACTGAGTACTCACAAAAGAACTCGAAAGTACTCGGAACCTAAAAGAACTCAAAAGTGCTAAGTGGAAACTATTGTACTCAATTTGAAGTATCAATAGTTTTCAAGTAGCCATTAATTTGACGTAATTTGGGATTAATATATTAATTTAGATAAAATTCTGCCAACTTGTGAGATTTCTACACTAAGCATTGAAATGTTACCAACAATTGTATATATAAAGAAAGTGCTCAGTACTCAGAAAAATACCCGATCCCTAAAAGCATGGATACCAAAAAACTCGATCCTGAAGAGTACTCCATACTTCCCAACACTACACCTGCTTACTGATCAGTGAGTATTGCCCTATCTCTCTGATCTCAGGAGTTTTCATTCGCTTGAAAACGGTTTTACATCGCTTGCATATATCTTTATTATTCATAAATGGCGAAAGTTGAAATAACTATTTTTCGATAAAAAAAAATCCACAAATGTGATGCTGCATCCTGATTGCATCCTGATATATATTTTCTTAATAGATCCATTAGTTTTCATTGAAATTTTAACGATATCCGACTTTCAGAGAATTTAGTGAAAAAACCCTACGCTTTAGGCAAAGTTTTGATTTGTAGATTTTGTATGCGGTCATGAGCTAATTCGGCAAAACTGTAAACACCATTAAATTCAGCATACCCAAATTATCTAGAAATTACCTATCTCCCGTCTGTCGGAAAAAAAGTTGGAAAAACTTCAACAGTGTTATTATCCTTCAGCACATTTTATTGCTGAAAATTCTGTAAAAAGTACAACTATATAACCAGATACGATAGTACGATAAACAGATAGGTGTAAAATTTTGTAGGATTAAAAGACCCACATAAAAGCGACCATCTAATCAGTTATTTCATTAAATAATTAAATATAAATATTTTTTATTTCTTTTTCCAGCGCACGTTAGCAGCAAATCTGTTGTGGTGGATGTTCCTTGAATACAGCTATTATCTGTGATGTTATGTACGCTATATAATTCATATGTACCTAATACTGAAGTACAAAAAGCCGAGACTGACATTTTTTTTTGCATCATAATCAATCAAAAAGTGAATATTGGACTTTTTGTTAGTTACGGCCTTTTGTATTTCAGGTGACGATATGTATGTATATGCATATGTACATACATATATAAGACTGAAATAATAAATTATTTAAACTTTTGTTTTTAATCCTTTAATACTTGAATATGGATGCTTTTTATAAAAGTTTATGAAGGAGCAGATAGCTTAGGAATTGAGGTTGGGCCTTAAATTTCAGACCTTTTACTCGATTTATTTAAATAAATGTAAGTAAAAGGTCTGAATTTTTTAGAAGCAATTGCTTAGTTTTTATGCATTAAACACATTGTCCCAACTAAAAAACGACATTTTTGAGAAATGATTCAGAATAATTAGCCACATCAATAAATATCCACATATGTATGTATGTATATTTTGGAAATATTTGTTGATAAAATCTTGTGTAGTTCCACCACACTAACTAACCCCTGCCCCATAGGGGGCAAACCCGTCGGAGTAGCACACTTTCCGGGTTTCCCGTTGGTTGAGCTTGACGACAACGATTGATGGCCAAGCCGCAGGCAGTGCTAAGCCGGTACAACAACACAACAACAAGCATCTTTATTTTCAGCATTTTGAAAGTACATTAAAAACACACATCTGAAAAATTAGGCCCTATGCTGAATAAAAGTGACCATACGCCACATATTTTTTTTTCGGTTGCGACAGCCCTTTACTAAATGAGCGATATGCACTAGTTCACGCAGTTTAGTTGAGCTCTATTAAGTATGAGTTAAAGTATGCATATATAGCGCACACGATCTTCAAAAAGGACCCAACTCAAAATTTCTCATCTTTGAAATTATACAACAAAAATGTACTCAGAGCTTTTATTTACCTTTCAGCAAAAGTTGGAGCATATTTTTGTTATAATTTGTTGAAACAAGCTAAGGTAAAGTCCCCTTTGCCCATATGATTGGTATGTGCTAGGAAAAAGTTTTTTTTTTCGCATTTTCTGACGAACGTGTTATTTTGATTTGTGTCACCTTTGAAGATCGTGTGCGATATGTACATACATATGTACATATGTAGTCTATGTTACAATTTCAATCAAGGCCAAACTACAAGCAAAACAATGCAAAATAAGCCAGCTGCACTAAAGAGCGCAGGTATCGGAGTGATATTGGCAGGTATAGTCTTGTTTGCTTACAAGGGGATATATATGTATGTACATTAGGGTGGTCCCAGAATGCATGAGAAAAAGTAAAGCGTTCCAAAAAAATATACCCCTATTTTTTATTTTTATTTCGAAGTCAGCATTTAGAGGTCGCTCAAAGCGCTCGAAGTTTTACACGTTTTATATGGGAAAAGAACTTTTCGTAGAAATGGTATTGAATTCTTGAAAATCAATATTTTTCGATCGGAATAGTCCGTTTCTCTTTAGGAGATGCCCAATAATAATAACCCAATTTTTTATTTAACCACGCGTGCAACTTTTGGAATAATCGTGGCTAGGATTTTATTTACGTGAGACCATCCCAGAAGATAATTTAGGTAGGCCTTCTAAAAATCATACCTAGGAAAGCCTGAAAAAGTGAAATTGGTTTGGCAAAAATACTTTAGATTGGAATGTGTACGGCGAACCTTTTACGGTGACCATTCGCACCGATATTGGCGGGACAGTACCGATTTTGGTGGTGTGGTTTCATCAGCTGTGAGTAGCGTTTGATTGTAAAAATTTTATATTTTGCTAGTGAGTGAGTGAGAACGAGAGAATGTTTGCATTTTCTGTCGCCCTTTTTCATTCGGAGAAGATGAAATTTGACAATGGCCCGCTAAAAGCAAAAACAAAATACAAGTAATTGTTGTATTTGTTGAATCGATACCACCTTATATATATTCGCCTTGACAAAAATGAACAAAATTCGACAAAGATTCATCAATATTTTGAGTCATTTTTGAGTTTTTTAATTACATTTCTTAGAAACATTATGGGCTGGTTTTTCGAACTCAACATAACTTAGTTTAGCCATTTTTTTTGGACTTAAGCCAAGTTAGCATTCTTTTTATTCCGCTTATTCTTGACTAAGTCCAAGAAATTGGCTAAACTAAGTTAAGTCGAGTTGGAGAAACCTGCCCTATGAGTACCGTATACCATCGCCTTTCGAAAGACAAAAGTTTTTCTTATTCCGGTAACTACCTTGAAAGCTGTGTTCTATATTTCGAATGACTAATTAAAAGCTCTGCTAACGAGAAGGTCCCAGCGTTGTTCTATTTATTTTTTAGCACTAAATTTTCTAAAAACAACGAATTTTTTTTTTAGCAATAAAAACTTGAGAAAATGAGTTTAAAAAAATTAATTAAAAAAGTTTCTAAACATCAAATGAAATTAAAATATATATTTTTTAACAATAGAACTTCAAAAGTAAATAAAAAAATAATAATTGGAGAGGAAAAAATCCACGGTCGAGGATTGAACTGAAATTTATTGAAAACAATCAAATCAAATAAACAAAATTCAATAGTTTGTATCTAGGGCAACTTCAAAACACTGACTTGCCAGGTCCTAGCCTGGCAGGATCATAGTAATTGATAGATGAAAAGTTATAAAATCTTTAAAATTTCGAAAGATTTGAACGTAATGTTTTCAAAATTAAGGACTTTCCACAACAAACAAAATAAAACCCGAATAATAAGAGCCACCTTAGTGTACAATTACTATTTTGGTATTGCATCTTTTAGGCGCGCTACTATTTTTAACGGCATTATTTCTATACAAATATGTATTTCCGGTTGTTGAAGAGGTGTGCCGCTGCAAATTTGTTTCATACATACATATGTGTATAATCACAGAATAAACAGTATACAGAAGACGCACCACATACAAATTTATTTTTCTTCGGCGGACGTAATATTACAACCCGGACCAGAGCAGAGAAGTTAACATTACGACCACTATGAATAACATGGCGACCCGGAACAGAGCAGAGGAGTTAACATCACGTCCACTATGAATAACATGAAGTTAACATCTCGCCATAAACACACATCGTGATCAGCGTTGCCGCGAGCTGGAAAAAAATGTATCAGTTGCCAAGCAGAAAAAGTATCAAAAGCAAACAAAACTGTTGTTTATTAAACTATTATTTAAAAAACAAATAAAAAATAAAATTTTATAATTAAATCCATAGTTATAAAAAAAATTATATATCTTGC